TTCTATGAATATTGTAGTGTGTAGGTACGGGATCTATCTAATTAATTTAACATTATTTTCGAAGAAAATAGTGAGTAGAAGTTTTAAGTTGAAGTTTTCCAGCTCCCCCCCCCGCCCCCACTCCATTACAGACCTGAGCAACAAGTTTTAAATGGGGTTAGCAAGGATGTATCTAACAGGGGGAAGAGCATCATATTGTTCCCCCTCCCCGAATATTTCGAAATTTGACTATTTTTATCTACTCAGAAATTTACGAATTTTTTTTTCAGAAATTTTTGAAAATTTTTTAAATTTCTAAAAAACTTTTTTCAAAAGTCTTCGTATCTCTCAACTTTTGCCATTACGCGACACTACTGATACTTAGGTTTTATAGTTTACGGGACATAGGTGAGTTCCACATTTCAACCTCAAAGGGGCTGTGCTAGCAAGCTTTTTTTGTCTACATTCGTTTGTTCATAAATAGGCACCATCTTACTTTTGAGACATCTACTTTTATTTCAAATGAAATTAGATGAGGAAGATAGCGAAGAAACTGAGAAATCAGCACTGTTTATCATGCCTATCTGCAAATCAATCATTCGCTTTGAGATCACCCTATCTGAATGACGATAGAGTTTTGCAGATACATCAATATTTTCGTGTGTTCCTTTATTAATATATCTACAATAATCGTTGGATTGTATAGAAATTTTGACAATACTAACAGTACAATTATTTACAGGCGAGTCGCTACATACATATAGAAAGGAATATTTCTGTCATAATTCACAATTTGTATTTTATGTGCTAAAAGTATGAAATTTTTTTAGGATAACAATACATTATGGAATTGCTTATACTAATAATCATATCAATATAACAATAACGTAAAATGGTAAATATTATTCATTTACACAGGTAATTTTGCGTTTCGATCATTTTCTACACACCGGTAAAAGTATTCAACCATGATTTTTTCTTTAAGAATTACCACTGCGAGCCGTTGCTTTTCACACATCGTCAGTATTATGAAAATTAAGCAAGTTGCGTTTTAGGTAGGGCTATTTGTGCAATTTCATTATATCAAATATATAAATATGCATGACTACTGACTTCAACGCTTGTTCTCATTCGCAAACAACTTCTACCAACAAGATCTTCAAAAGACGAATTACATAAAGATTACTTTTATCGTCATCTAATTCCTGGATATATTTTTTATTCATTTTTCCTTCATGATCATCTTAATCCTATTAGCAATTGATTCAAGTAAGTTTATCTCTAAATACTGAAAGTATCGAAAATTCGAAATTTCAGTAAGATTTTGTTGATTAGAAATATTAAGTTATAAAAACTATCTATAAAAGCTGACTAAGTACGTAAAGAAAGCATCAAGTCTCTATATTTATCCAAATATCTCTTGTGATGTTACTCGTCACTTGCTGAGGAAAAAGTTTTTGAAAAATATTGACTGTATGCTGAGAAAATTGATGTAATAGCAAAACAATATTTTTATTCTAAGACTTTGACCATCGGAATTTCAGTTCCGAAGAAAAACAAACTTCATATTCCGAATGAGCATAAAGATCTGCATCAAATAGTATACTTAATACTCAAAATCAATTTTCATCAAATTTCCGCCTTAGAGAGAGTACAGGTCAGAATGTTCGGAAATAACACTAAGGGAGTGTGAGAACAAAAAATTGTTTTCAGTGTACTATTCGATGGAGATTATTTCAAACTGAATCAATGTATAATTATGTATTACCTTAGTTTTATTTAAAAAGGAATAAAATAATTTTTTTTAGTATACATAATCAATCAGAATAAAAAAAAAGAAACAATTAAACGAAATTGATAGAGTAATAGATAGACGATGAAAGGATAAAAAAGATGGAAAACTTCAAACTAAAACAAAAAAAATTACATATAGTGTATATTGCTAACAATGATGTCTGATTGTGCAGCTCCTTTATTATATCCATATTAAGTACTAATTATTATATTACCTTGTTGTAATATTTTGGGTGAGAAAGCTTCATCATTTTTGTCATTGTATTTTGGACCTAAACAACGTAGTTTCTGTTTTTGAGCTTAATCAAAAACAAAATTATTTTTCGATCAAGTACAAAAAGACAAACGATGGGTGTGTGTGTGTGTATTAGTGTATTTCTTGTGTTCTATTGCACTTACACTCACCTACACTCGTATCCACTCTGTATACTTAAGCTTGGCACTATTGTTTAATATAAATGTAGACTTGCCTCGAATTTTGTCATAGTGATTGACACTGAAGACGTTGAAAATTTTCACTCCCGTCATGACAAAAACAACATTTGTGGCGTTCTTCATCGTAGTTTCGAAGTCTATCTTTCAAAAAACATAGACTGACTTCAGTCTACCGAAGCCTCAGAATTCCGCCATCTACGCCACCAATCGACAAGTAGTAACTAACTATGAGTTACATCATTTTTTGTAATACAGAATGGAACACATTTTTAACACAATTTTTTCACTAATACATTTATGAAGTTTATGCAGTTCATAAATGTGTCAATGTCCGCGAAATATGTATATGTGGCAAATCATACGCTACTTTAACTTTATGAATTTTAAATCTGTAAGATTATTTCTGTGCTTTCGTTAGGCCTTATATTGGAATTCGAATTCGGTTTATTCTGTTGATCATACAGGATGAATCTAAAGTTTCCTTAGTTATTTATTTACCATAACAAATTTTTGTCTTAATACAAGTTCTAGATTTAAGTCAAATTAATATTAGATGATGACAAATACGGATCTGAGGAACTGTTGAAACGTTTTCTCATATGAATTGATCTAGTTCAACATTTCAGTTTCCCAAGCTGAGCAATCCAAACCAAAGCAGAACAACATTTCTTGTACAGCTCACATCGAGAAAGTAAACTGCTTAAACAGTTATTTTGCTCATTTGGTCTAAAACTCGAAGTAAAGGCTGATCAAATTAAAAACTTATTTTGAACTTTTCACCAATGTGTTCATCACAAATCTTATCTCTACCTTGTGTTTATGTTTGAGAAAATTCTGTTTAACTGTAGTTATTTTCTCGAATTCATTTAGAATAACTTATATTTTTATCGAATAGATTGTCTAAACTTTTTAATAATTATTTTCAGATGGCAAGTTTGCCGAGCAAGTCTTATTTCCAGTATTAATTCTAATGCGGAACCAAAACATTATCATGCATGAACAATGACAGATTTACGTAAGCAAAAACATTACAAAATGATCTTGATATTCCATTAATAACATTTATGAAACATTCGCGACGCTTACAAAAAAAAACTAGAAAAACCATCTTTAATATCAAATAATTCATCAGCATCACTTCGAATGGCAAATGCAAAATCCTATCAACCAGTTCTGGCACATATTTATATACTTGAAAAACATACAACAGTTGGTGTTGGTATATTTAAATTACAAAGATCATGTTACGAAGATTCATGTAATAAATAACAAAAGGGAAGTTTCTAAAATAATTCTTCAAATCTTCGTTCATCATGTTATTCTGTTACACAAAATGAATCTAAGCCCATCTCTAAAAACCATTCGATATTTTTTTCTTGCATTATTATGTAATGCTATTTATTTAATGTTTGAGAGTGTTGGTACATACTTAGAGAATAACCACACCCACACTCTATTCATATGTGAGGTATCGTGCTTATACGTAATTATTTCTAGATTAGTGATACATTGAAGTGATTAAAAAACATTGGTCAACAATTTATTCCCATGCTTCATATGCATTTGTTGGAGATGTTTCTTCGTTCTCATAGTAATAATCATCGTGTTCGCCATCATAGTCACAAGGATATTGCATGGCAAGACATTGTTGACAGATACAATTATCACCTGAACATGCATGAAGTGCAACTTGATGACGCTGAACTTGTTCACCACATAAACAGCAAGAAAAAAGATTCTCTGAATTCCGATCCCAAGTGTTGCCATATTGACACTCGTTTGATGTTTTGATGCAATTCGGGGACATCATTCTACCTTTATTGACGAATGCCAAGAGAAAGGCCACTTGTTTTTCGAGTGCAGACACAGAGCTTTGAAGTTTCTCTCGTTCGGTTCTGGATAATCCTAACTCAGTTTGAAGTTCTTCGATAACAGGTCGAACTTGTTGAAATATGCAGCTCGTAACATGCATTGAGCCTATCTTTTGGTCCTGTCCAAGGACATTTGATATCCACCGATGGACATGAAACCATTTTCTTCACACATTTTTGTGCATGATCTTTGAAATTGCATCGTTGAATGTTGCTCTCTTGACATAGTGTACATCGAACAAGAAGACGATCAAGTTGATTCAAGACAATTCGAGTATTGATTGAAGAAAATGGAAGTGTGCGGAACGAGCTACGCCAACCAGACTGAGGATGATTGTTGTTAATCGTGGGTTGTCGACAGCTTGGACATGTTTGAGTTCGAACAAGCCACTTCTCAATGCATTCTTTGCAAAAAGTGTGATAACATACCAAAAGGCTGACGGGTGATTGAAATGGTTGCTTGCAAATTGTACATTTGAGTTCTTCGTCGATTTGATTCTCATTGACATATTCATAATCAAGTGGTCCGGAAGCAGCCATCTTTCTTCAAATCGCTCTGCGAGTCAAAGATGATGATGAAGAATCACATTGTTTTATTTCTGAGCGCCATTGGGTTTTTTCCCACTGCGACCTACTCGATGCAATCGCGCCATTGAATAGCATGAGTCATTTTTGCAGGACCTCACTTCTCACGTTCTTCATTCTTTACTCATTTTACGAAACAGAACATGCTTATTATTATTTCTTTTACATATTTCAACAGAAGACAGCTGACTAAACTGTTCCATCTTCTTTTTTTAGATAGGATTTCAAGATTATTTCAGATATCGAGACAAGTAGTTTGATTGTCATCGTAATATAATATCAGGCAAAATTAAGCAGTTTTTTATTCTGGGCGGGCTACTGATTCATATGCAGTTACTTTTGTAACTAAGGTGATAGTTGGCTAACTTAATCGATAGAGCAGCCAACCGCTTATTGGAAGGTGTAGGTTCGACTCCTGCTCCAATTATATGGGTGTGGGTGTGGGTGTGGGCGTGAGTGTGATTCCTATTTTACTTCTCAGCCAGTCCCACACCCACGCGTACACCAACACCACATCCACACCCACACCCACACACACCCTCCTATGGATTTTCAGGGAAGACTTCAAGGGATTTCAGAGAGCTGTCTATGGGAGGTTACCGAGGTCTTTAGGAGATCTCATAGGCGTCTCTAAGGGTCTCGTCCTGGTCTCCAAGGGACCTCGAGAACGTCTCTATGGGATTTCGGAAGGATCACTAGAGGATACTGGGAGACCTTGTTCGGTTCGCTTGTGGACATCATTGAGATTACCGAGAAAGCTCTCTTAGTTCCCCTAAAGATCTCAATGTGATCCGCTGAATATTTCCTTCACATAAGCTACAGACGTTCCTGATGTCCTCTAGAGAGCCCCGGACATCCTCCTGATGCCACCATACGAACTCCGTAGTTCTCTGTAAGATCCACTAGAGATCCCTGAGATCTCCTGAAGAATTCACTAAGATCCTCTGAATAATCTCTCTTGAATTACCAAAATATCTCCATAAGACCCTTCAGAGACCTTTCAGGGATCCCCTGAAGACTTCCCTGAGATCTTGCAAGTATCTCCATAAGACCCTCCAAAGATCGCCTGGAGATCCTTGAAGACGTCCCTGAGCTTTCCAGAAGACATCTCTCAGATCTCCTAAAGATCTCGATAAGATCCGTAGAGATTTCCTTTGGATCCACGAAAGACATCCCTGAGATCCTCCAAAGATGTCCATAAGACCACCCAGAGCCCTTGCTAAGATCTCCATAAGACCTTCCAGTGACCTCCCTGTGAGCCACGAAAGACCTTTCTGAGATCACTTAGGGGCCTCCCTCAGATCGCTTAAGACCTCCTTAAGATCCTCTAGAGACATGTCTGAGTACATGAGTGTACTTTTTTGTACTTTAAAGTACAGTAAAGTACTTTAAAGGGCATAAAAGTACGATG